AATAATGTATTTTTAAATGTAAATTGTTAGTATTTTATTGAGTATTTTTGTATCTGTGTTCATCAAGAATGGATCTGAATTTTTCTTTCCTTGATGTGCCCTGGTCTGGTTTTGGTGTCAGGGTGATACTAGCTCCATAGAATGAATTTGGAAGTGTTCCCTTATTTTTTACTTCATGCACTAATTTGAAGAAGATTATCATTAGTTTTTCTTTAATTGGTTAATCAGCTGAGAATTTATCAGGGTCCTAGGCTTTTCTGTGTGGGAAAGTTTTTATTACTGCCTCAATCTCCTTGCTTGATATTGGTCAGTTTAGGTCTTTTTATATCCTCTTGGTTATAATTCAGATAGTCCAGAAATTTGTCAATATATTTTAGATTTTCAAATTTATTTGAATATGTTTTCAAAATAGTCCCTAATGATCCTCTGGACTGTATACCATAATCAAGGAGGTTTTATTCTAAGAATGCAAAGTTGGTTCAACATATGCAAATCAATAAATGTAATTCATCACATAAGTAAAATTATGGACAAAATCACATGATCATTTAAATAGTTTCAGAAAAACTCTTCAACTGTATCTTGTACCCATTCTTGATAAAAAATAAACTGAAAAAACCATATAATATTATTCAATACAGTACTTGAAGCTATAGCCAAAACAAATAGGCAAGAGAAGAAAATTAAAAGGTTACAAATAGGAAAAGAAGAAATCAAATTATCTGTTTTGGGATAACAATCAATTTCCTGTGCATCAATAATGAGAAAGAAATTAGGAAAACTATTCCATTCATAGTAATATTAAAGAAAAAACTGTAAAAAATATACCCAAGGTAGTAAAAGATGCCTATGATGAAAATTAAAAAACACTGAAGAAAGAAACTGAAGAAAACCTCAGAAGGTGGAAAGATGCCCATATTCTTGGGATAGACACAAATAATATTGTTTGAAAGATAATACTTCCAAGAGAAATCTACAAATGTTACCCAATACCCATCAAAATACTAATGACATTCTTCACAGAACTAGAACAAACATTACTAACATTCATATGAAAGGATAAAAGACCCAGTATAGCCAAAGCAGTCTTCAACAGAAAGATTGATATTGGAGGTATCACATACCTAATCTAAAATTATAATGTGGAACTAAAGTAAAAATCACATTGTCATATTAGCATGAAAACAGACATGAAGGTGAGTGGAATGGAAGTAGAAGACACAGAGACAAACCACATGGAAAAAGTCATCTATTCTTGACCAAGTTTTCTCCAAACTTTGGAGAAAATATAGGCTTTTTAACAGAAGGTGCTGGGAAAACTGGGTATCCATTTATAGAAGAATAAAACTAGATCATCTCTCACCCTCAAAAAAAATAAATAAAAAATCAACTCAAAGTAGGTCGAAGACCTAAGAAGTAGACTAATCTCTGCAACTGCTCAAAAAAAAAAATAATAATAATGTCAACATTCTAACATATGATACAGGCACTGACTTCCTTAATGAGAATCCTAAATTTCAAGAAATAAAACCAATAATCAATAAGTGGAATGGCGTCAAATAAAAAAAAATATCTACACAGCAAAGGAAATATTTAATAGCATAAAGAGACAGCCTACAGAATGAGGAAAAATCTTTGCCTATAAGGGGAATAATGTACAATATACAGAACTCAAAATCTAACACCAGAAAAAAAACCTAATAAACAAATGGACAAATGATTGAAATAGACATTTATCAAAAGAAGAAATACAAATGGACAACAGATACTTTAAAGAAAATATTCAATATCCTTGGC